TCAGGGACTGAACCTGAAAATATAACCTAATGCCAATAAACCAACCGATATAAAGAAACTCTACCACTTCTGATTAGATGAGTGTTCAAATATCCAAGAAGGAAGAGAACAGCCATTAGCCCTATGCCGTTAATGTCCATATCAGATCCTAAACATCTCAGAAAGACTCAATGCTTCTTCACCCGGAGACACAACCTGCATGACTCATCAGCTCTAATATAGCTCAGACTGAGTTATCAGGTATAAGAGGCAAACAAAGGTAGAGTTTACAGCTACGCGTTGCCCCCTACTGCAGACAACAGCCCTGATCAGACACAGATAATGTGATATTTCAAACACTTCAGAGACCCTTCAGCGGAGCTCCAGAGTGTCATTGAGTAAACTAAAAACGCATGCTTTGAGCTCTATCTATGCGTATAAAATAAACGCCTCCCAGTGACGGCAGTGAACTCGTAACCTGCAGCGGGTATCTTTATCTAACGCTCCTTGTTTTGCTGCATCTCCAAGAGAAACGCACATAAACTAACTGAGAGCTCACATAGCACAGCTTGTGATGCCTCACATTAGCAAGGGACAGTTAATCCAGTCCTTCATCGTCAGCCAGCATCGCAGTATTACAGTCATGCATACTGCTCCAACACTGGCATTCAATTACACTTCAAGGACAAAGTACTACCAGACAGAAATATCCACCGCAAATCATTTTTACCATCTGCTGTTCAGCCCTTATATTTTGTATATGTGTATATTTTATCTGCACAGAATTAATTTGATTGCTATCAGCAGTGTGTGTGCATGCGTGTGCGTGTACCCACCTGCAGGCTTGTCACAGTGAGCCTGCGGGCCTCATCTGACAGCGTAGCGATTGGAACGATGAACGGGCTGTCAGGGATGTGCTCGTTGTTGAATTTGATTGACACCTCATAGTCACCTGGGGAAGCAGGCATGTTATTTACTTTCACAATCAAGTGAACCGCAGGGAAGCGGAGGGAAAACAGCTGGAGAGCCGACTGGTAAAGAGACGGAAATAAACAGGAGGAGCATCCAAAAGAGAAGCCTTCTACAGGAGTTCTTACCCGGCTCCTTCACTATGTATGAAACGCCGCAGGAGCCGTCTTTCCTATCTTCAAAGGAGATTTCAGCCTTGCTTGGGCCTTCGACGGCGATGGACAGGCCACCGGCTCCTGCCTCTCGGGTCCAGATACTGAATTCAGCTAAAAAAGTAAAGCCGAAATCAATCCATCTTTAATCACAACTGTGATTCTCAACATATCACAATATGAGTGGAATATAAATGTATTTCCGTAATATAATCCTAAAAGAGAGACTCATATAGATTCATAACACAACATATCGTATTTTTTCAGCATTTAATTCCATTAAATGTGATAAATATGGTGTACAGCAAATGAAAACCTCAAATAGTTTTTTTTTAACAACAAAATGTTAATATTACATCAAAAACAGCATTTTAACCACAAGGCACATAAGCAACAGTAGATTACTGCTATGGACTGATAACATACTGATGTAACGAAGCAGATTTATAAAAAGTTAAGTGGAAGGAAGAAGTGCTTTAGAGAAAATTAGAATATTCCACAATGGAAACTTGCAAATGCATGTTTTATTTCTGT